CCGTGGAAGTCTTGAAGGATCTGTCAGGATTAATGGCAAACCAGTCAGTATTTCTATCTGTTTTCTTTATCTTCTTGTTTGTTCGACCGAGGCTAGTAAGGGTCAAGTCTAGCACCATGTGACTAGGGAGACTATTGGGCGGAGATCGAATCGGTTAAGGGCCAAGTCCAGTACCATGTGGCTAGCGAGATTGTTGGCGGAGGTCGGTGAAAGGCCAAGTCCAGCACCTTGTGGCTAGCGGGATTGTTGGCGAAGGCCGATGAAGGGCCAAGTCCAGCACTATGTGACTATTGGGCGGGGCCGGTGAAGAAGGGCCAAGTCCAGCACCATGTGGCTAGGAAGATTATTGGGCGAAGCCGGTGAAGAAGGGCCAAGTCCAGCACCATGTGGCTAGGGAGATTATTGGCGGAGGTCGGTGAAGGACCAAGTCCAACACCATGTGGCTAGGGAGACTATTGGGCGGAGGCCGGTGAAGGGCCAAGTCCACACCATAGGGCTAGGGAGACTATTGGGCGGAGACCGGTGAAGGACCAAGTCCAGCACCATGTAGCTAGGGAGACTATTGGGCGGAGGTCGGCGAAGGGCCAAGTCCAGCACCATGTGGCTAGGGAGACTATTAGGTGGAGACCGGTGAAGGGCCTAGTCCAGCACCATGTGGCTAGCGAGACTATCAGGCAGAGGCCGGTGAAGGGGCCAAAGTCTAGCACCAGGTGGCTAGCGGATTGTTGGCGGAAGTTAGTGAAGGGCCAAGTTTAACATCATGTGGCTAGCGGATTGTTGGCGGAGGCCAGTGAAGGGTCAAGTTTAACATCATGTGGCTAGCGGATTGTTGGCGGAGGTCAGTGAAGGGCCAAGTCTAACATCATGTGACTAGCGGATTGTTGGCGAAGGCCAGTGAAGGGCCAAGTCCAGCACCATGTGGCTAGCGGGATTGTTGGCAGAGGCCGGTAAAAGGTCAAGTCTAGTACCATGTGGCTAGGGGATTGTTGGACGGGAGCCGATGGGAGAAATTGTTGGGTGAAAATTGATGAAATGCCAAATCTAGCACCCTGCCTTTGAAAAATATGATTGCTGTCTTTACACCTAAACTTGATCCTAACAATGTTGAGCATAAAATAATCTATTAACTTAATCTTTTAGTTGAAACAGAACACTTTATCAGCTAAGCCATTGCCCTTTTCTTACTACCGTTGATGCACAAAATCAGGTCACAACAAGCTATATGAAGATGATATCTTCATATGTGATGCAAGATGACCAGCTTTTCCCCATGCTGACAGTCTTTGAGACCTTCATGTTTGCTGCAGAAGTGAGGCTCCCACCTTCAATTCCCCGAGATGAGAAGAAGAAGAGAGTGAACGAGCTCCTCGATCAACTAGGCCTAACGGTATACATACTACGATTATATTCCCCTCGTCCTTTATCATATAATATATAAAACATAAATGTGCAGTCCCGTATCTACAGAGTGCCGCACATACTTACATCGGGGATGAAGGGAGGAGAGGTGTATCGGGTGGAGAGCGACGAAGGGTGTCCATAGGAATTGACATTATCCACAAACCTTCACTTCTGTTTCTTGATGAGCCAACTTCAGGCCTTGACTCCACCAGTGCTTACAGTGTTGTTGAAAAGGTTAAAGACATTGCTAAGAGTGGCAGTATAGTCCTAATGACCATTCACCAGCCCTCTTTCAGAATCCAGGTTCTCCTCGATCGGATCACGGTTCTTGCTAGGTAATTAACAAATTACAATTCAAGAATTATCATCAACATTCCAATCCTAGCTTCAACACTTACCATGTTGGGGGAAACCCCATGTCAAACTGCCAAGTTAGTCAAACAGTTGATGATTTGGTAACCACAATGTTACAAAACTTGACTTCCAGCGATAACGGCTTATTGATTTTTTTTTTTTTTTTTTGAGTATGTTGGCTATGGACAACCTAAGAGCATTTACATTAGTAGATAATATGGGGAGATTGCAGTATTAATTCACCCCACCCAAGATAATAGCTAATGTGGGGGAGAATTATTTGAGAAATAATTCTTCTGCAAATGAAGGAAGATTTCAGAAATGGTGGGACCCACGCGTGGCTGTCACCATAGCGCCTGACGGGCGCGTGCAGTGCACGCGCCCGTCAGGCGCGCCCTTTTTAAAATTTAATTTTCCTTATTTTTTTTTCCTTTTTTTCTCTCCCCTCCCATCTTCTCTTTCCTAATCACTCTTACATTATCCCCCTATTCTCCCCAACAAATGTGGATGCTCTAAGTTTGTTTACCTCCTTGTGGTATGGTTTATTGCTGGTTAGGGTCAACTATGGACAATCTAGACAAGTTACCTCCTTGTTATCATTTGCTGGCTAGGATCGCGAAGCGAGGTTTATGTGCCCCGTAGTTCTTTGCTGGTTAGGGTCTAACTATTGACAATCTAGACTAGCTTACCTGGCCTCCTTGTGATCATTAGTTGGTTAGGGTCACAAGACGCTATTTATGCGCCTGCACTTCCTTGTGGTGTGGTGCTTTGCTGGTTAAGGTCGGTTATGGACAATTTAGACTAATTTACCTCCTTGTGAATTGTGATCATTTGCTGACTAGGATCACAAGGCAAAATTTATTTGCACCTTCTTGTGGTGTGGTTCTTTGTTGACTAGGATTAGCTATGGACAACTTACGACTAGTTTACCTCCTTATGGTCTAAATAAGGTAACACCGAGGTAACATTATATTGTTGATCAAACTCATTGACACCTGATTTTGATGGCAGGGGAAGACTGGTGTATTCCGGGAGTCCAAATGATTTAAGTGGTTTCCTGAGTGGGTTTGGAAGGCCAGTTCCAGATGGGGAAAACGGATTGGAATATCTCCTAGATGTGATCAAAGAGTACGATGAATCAACCGTGGGGCTTGATCCTCTTGTCCACTATCAATTCGACGGCGTTAAGCCCAATCAGGTCTCCATGAACACCGTCCCCAAAACACCCAGAACCATTAAAACCCCCCGCAATCACCCCCCCAAGGCCCCCTGGATCAAACCCATCAGCTTCATCAGCAGCCAGTTCTCCATCGGAAACTCCGCCGCAGATTATGAAGAAGACGACGACGAAGAATTCCACAACTCCCTGGAACGCAAAACTGCCCACACCCCAATGCAGAGCGGAGTTTACAACCCGCGCTTAGCTTCCCATTTCTACAAAGATTTTTCCGCTTGGGTCTACAATGGTGTCAAGGGAACCCCTCGCCGGAAACCCACATGGACTCCGGCAAGAACCCCTGGAATTTCCGGTTTCACAAGCCAACAATACCCCAAAACGCCGGTGCCGATTTTCAGCCCTGAACCACCGTCATTCTCCTCCTATGCGCCTTCTTCATTTGAAATTGAAGAAGTATTGGATGAGCCGGAAAACAGGAACAAATTTGCGAATCCATGGCTCCGGGAAGTTGCAGTTTTATGCTGGCGAACCACTCTAAACGTGATCAGAACCCCAGAGCTTTTCCTCTCCAGGGAAATAGTCTTAACAGTAATGGCTCTGGTTCTCTCCTCGCTCTTCAAGAACCTCCACCATTTCAATTTCCTGACCATAAACCGCCTCCTAAACTTCTACATCTTCACCATCTGCCTCGTCTTCTTCTCCTCCAACGACGCCGTCCCGACCTTCATCCAAGAACGCTTCATCTTCATCCGAGAGACCTCCCACAACGCCTACCGAGCTTCTTCTTATGTAATTTCCTCCCTCATCGTCTACCTCCCGTTCTTCGCAATCCAGGGATTCACATTCGCCGTTATTACAAAATTCATCCTTCACCTCAACAGCAGCCTCGTCAACTTCTGGCTCATCCTCTACGCCTCGCTCATCACCACCAACGCCTACGTCATGCTCGTGAGCTCCATGGTTCCCAGCTACATCACCGGCTACGCCGTCGTGATCGCCACCACGGCGCTCTTCTTCCTCACCTGCGGGTTTTTCTTGAAGAGGACCCAGATCCCTCCCGCCTGGGAATGGCTCCATTACATCTCGGCGATCAAGTACCCGTTCGAGGCGCTGTTGATCAACGAATTTAGGGATGCTAAGGAGTGTTACACGGGCCAAATCTCGGAGCTCTCGCCTGGGCCTTTGGGGGATGTGAAGCGGAGTTCTACGGCGTGTGGAGCGGGGTTGGAGGGGAGAGATGTTCTTAACTCCATGGATATTCGTGGAGGGAGTATCTGGATTGATATCGCCATCTTGCTGGCCTGGGGAGTTCTTTATCGTTTCCTGTTCTATTTGGTTCTCAGATTCTACTCCAAGAATGAGAGGAAATGAGGATTTTTTAGATTTTTTTGGAATTTAAAACTTTCATAAAAGCTATTCATTCCTGATTGTAATGAATATAATGTATGCTTTTAATTTGCCTCTCATAATTATGACTCATAATTTGAGTTGATACCTAGGAATGACAATTTCAATCCGCCCTGCAAATATCCATCTGAATCCATCTTGCGGAGTTTTATTATTTATTTATTTTGGATAGTGTGTGATGGGTTGGGGTGGGTCTTAAAAAGTAAACCCACCCTATTGATTTCGTGACTAACAGTTAGCAAGCAGACAGGTCACACAATTGCAAAAAAAGTACAAGAAATGTAATTACCATAACCGCCCCTAATCAAGCCTTCATCGTTGAGAGAATCTGACCGGGTGCACTTAGTCCCCAATCCATCAGCTCCGAAAAGAGTGACTAAGTGGATAGAATATGATTCTCGTAAGTTTACCTAGTACTCACACCACACAGGCAGCTGATCACTCACCGTGATTTATCCTGTCAAGCCGAGTGTGGGAACCTTAAGGAAGAAGGAATTTCGTATTTGTGAACAAGTTTACCTAACTACTGCACACTCTCAAATAGTGATTGCAAGTCTGAAACCAAATCAAAGAGCATTAATGTTTAAGTAACTGAATCTTGAAGATAGATACAAAAGCTTTGCCAAAAGATGCAGCAATATATCATATTTCAACATACACATGATGAAGATTGATGTGAAGTAACCATTAACACAAAATTTTCCACAACATATAATGTTGGCTACAAGCTGCCCAATAGCAAAGCATCAACACATGCATGTAGGCAACAAACAATAATGTGTTCAATTCTACTTAGTATATATAATAAAAACACTTTCTACAGTATACTGAAGAAAGCTAAGGCAACCTACAAATGCTTCTATAATACTGGGATGATGAAAAAAGTCTTGGACACAACTGAGCAAAAGGAACACCTTCAATCCCATCTAAGGATCATTTAGGTGAAAACAAATACATTTTTGTTTCAGCAAAGGGACCATTGCAGACACCCCTTCACCCAATATCTATTTAATTATACTGCTTCAATCTCACAGCCCGCCCGGTCTTCACACGTACTAACTGGTGGCATGCAGAGAACTCGACCCCAAACTGTTCATAGAGAAGCTTTGCCCGGGCTTGTTGCACTCCGGGTACATCTTGCTCAAGTAGGGCGATGCACTCATTACCCTGCAGGATCCAAAAGTGAAACGATTTTAGCTTTAGACTCGTTGAAGTTGTGGGTTATACAAAGCAATGATGGCGAAACCATTACCTTTCCTTGCGCTTCTCAAGAAACCGAGCCAAGGAGGCCTTGCGAGCTTGAGGAACAGCTAAAGACGAAGAAATTGGAGAACATTAGGGTGATATATAAACAGAAAATATGCTTTTAAATGTCTCTCTAGACTGAAAGTAAGAGTTAAAACCTACCTGATGGAATTAAGGTGGCCCGGATAGACCCTGGCGAAACAGCTTTGAGAGGCTCAGCTTTGATAGGTTGAGATGCCACGACGCCTATTGTTTTCACCACGTTTGCTTCGTTGGTGCTAACAGATCCCGCAGCAGGCTGAGAGACAGGCTGGGGTGTCTTCAAAACGGGGCTTGGAAAACATGGCGTTGCAATATGGCTCGGGTTTACAGCGAAGCTGCTAATGACGGGAGGCATTGGTAAAGGCGCCTGAACTGGAGCTCCCGAGGGAGTCCCGTTTCCAGCCAGCAGCATAATAGCTTGAGCCTATAATCACAACAAATAAACCAATGAAACTCCTAACCTAACCTAAAAGTCCTCGAGAACACAACTAGGAGCTTAGAGGATCGGATTTACCTTCTCGGGAGAAATATTTTCATAGACACACACCGAACCAGCATAGAATATGGTCAACTGTGCAGGACCCCTCGCCATCTGTGGACCATTCCTACAAAACCAGATCTGATTCAACTCAGCACCTACATCGTTTCTCTTCCCGGGGTATAAAACGACAGAATATCGGGCGTTTTAAGGCATACCTTAGTTCAGTAGTGCCAACAACAGCACTGCCAGCAGAAGGGCGCAAATTTGCAGCACCAAACAGATTCTGTCCAGCAGGGGAAACAAACGACGGGTGAACAGGCATGTTCATAGAAATCGACATTTGATTCGTTTTGCTAACGATTGGGACTACTTTCACTTCATGAGATCGAAAGTGATTTGCGGGATAAGTTGTCACTGTGTAATGTAGTCCCCCTTGTTTTTCAACAACCATATTCTTCTGAAATTCGTAGAAACAGAAACTAATGAAAAAGACACACACTTTCCAAGCGTTACGATAAATCTACACATAATATTGCAATACCTGTGGAGTAGTAGCTCCAGAGAACGCCCGCAAACCAGAATCAACAGCATCAGTAGTTGTTATCGTCACCAATCCTGTCGAAGCAAGGGCATCAAAACCAGTCTTCGGCTTTTCCTCTTGAACACCCTTGAAGGACAGATATTGAGGAAGATTCGAGATCTTGGTCGACATTGCACAACTCCTGATAGGTGCTGGAAAATCACAACATAACCAGAAAAACTGTCACAAAACACTTAATCAAACTAAACATATGAACAATCCTCGAAAACCAATTCTTTTACCTTTCCCCCCTCACCAAACCAATTGGTTAATTGCCTAAGAAATAATAACCAGGCAGCACTTTTACTAGATTACAGGTTCTGGAAAATGTAAGGTAAGACAACCAACCCTTCTTAACTCTATATAAAAGTGGCATTAGTACTAAGCACCATTATTAAATCATATTATATATTAGCTTTGTGTAAGAGATTCAATTAAAAATCTCATTGGTGCAGCTGTAAAGGGGGGTGGACATGTTCATCAACATTTAAAAAAATAAATAAAACCTTAATTAGAGTACATCATGTGCTTTATAATACTGGTAGTACTATAAAAAAACATTGTACTATTGAATGCAAACCAATAAACAACATAGAAAAATCCATCTGGTCAAAATTGTTTTTTATTTTTTTATTTTTGGGTGTACCCAGGGTTTTCATAGTTCCCGCTGAATTGTAGGCACCTCCTTTTGGGTGGGACAGTTGGTTGGATATTTAAGACTGCTCCATACCCAAAGCCAAGGATCGAACTTTTGGGTGTACCCAGAGGGGTTTCCACCATCCCCGTTGAATTGTAGGCAACTCCTTTTAGGTGGGATAGCTGCCCTAGAGATTTAAGGCACTTCCTTTTGGGTGGGACAGCTAGCCTGGAGATTTAAGGCTACTCCATACCTAAAGCCAATAATCGAACTTTTGGATGTACCCAGAGGGGTTTCCAGAGTCCCCGCTGAATTGTAGGCACCTCCTTTTATGTGGGACAGCTGGCCTTGAAATTTAAGGTTGCTCAACACCCAAAGTCAAGGATCGAACCACCCTTAACCTTTGGTTAAAGATGGATGAGTCCCTTCTACTCAACCACACTAGGTTCTGGTCAAAATTGTTTATTAAATATACACAACACCAAATCAATCAACCATTTTGAGGCTTTTTAAAATCCATTATTTATTGCAACCATCACATTGTATAATATATTCCTCTGTTTTGGCATCATAGTTTATGAACAAATGCGTGTGACTTGTAGCAAGGCACAACTAATCACAGCATAAACTAATCATTAAAAAAGTGGATTAAAGAAAGAGCCCATGCAGTGCAGGTTAGCAGTGTGTAATCTAAGGAACATAAATAACAAATATATTATACGGAAAAGAAAAGTTCAATGGACCCTGCTAACATAAGCTGGATATAAAGGTTAATTTAAAGAATTAATAAATTAATTAAGCATATAAAACACCACAGCATGTTTGCACACCCCACACTCCAACAAATAAAAATGGTTTCTTTATTCCCCAATTTGTTTATTCGTACTAAACGTGAAAAGCATATATTAATAAATTATTTCTGGTGTGAACCACAACAAACACTACAACCAAGTTTTTTAAATAATAATAATAATAATAATAATAATAATAATAATAATAATAATAACTGTTACTCAAAGGAAAGCAATCCATTAAGGTCTGTTTGGCAGCTGACTGGAACAAAGAAAAATCAAGAAAATCTTGAATTCCCATCATATGATCTGGACCATCTATTCAGCGCGGGGTGTTTGGTAAATAATTGTTAGCTGATAGCTGATTAGATTAGTGAATTTGACTAGTTGATAGCATTAGCTGATTGTAGAAAGATGTTTGATAAATTAGCCATTAGCTGATCGTTGATTACATGCAAAATGACTTTCTCAAAAAATTGATCGAAAAAAATTGTTTTGAGCAGCTTTTTGAAGCAATAAACTGTTACAAAAAACTAATGAATCTATTCATATTAACTGTTTAATCAAGTCAAACGAGCCAAAATTAGCTGATAAGCTAACTATATCACCAAGCATCGAAGTTTCAAGACTAATCATCAGCTTGTTCATACAGCTGGGTTTACATAAAGTTTCAATTTTTTTCCCTACCCAACATAAAAACAAGCTTCATTAAGCTGTTTCCAGAATTGAAACCTAAAAAATTCTCATGTTTTAATTCAAGAAATGGAAATTTCGCTTAGAAAAACAAGAAACAATAAGAAGAAGGGGAAAAAAATGGTGAACCTGGATCTATGGGTTCTTCAGGAATCTCCTGTTTCACAGTTAAGCCCATGAAGTCTCTCTCCATTTGAGGTGCAAGTACAAGCTATGAAGAGCTCTGAGCAAAAGTGAAATTAAGGATTTTTGAAGAAGCTAAGGAGATCAGAGTGAAAAGGAAGGGCAAGGGGGCAGTAGTTATTTCGAAGAAATTAAAGTTTTTTGCTTGGTTGAGAAACGGATTAACCAGAATTTGGAAAATGAAATGTGAGGAGAGAAGGAAGAATATATGACTTTTAAAAGAAAAGAAAAAAGGATATAAATAGAAAAGAAATTGGCAAATCACATCTGGGCCGTCAATCTTATACATCACGCTTTCCATATCCAACCAGTCATTCCTGGTAATGTGACTCGTGCAAAATCTAGTCATGTTATGCCATGATTTTTAGTACCAACTACCAAGTAATATTAGCATCTTTTCAGATGTCTGTGTAGTTGCAGTTTTTTTTTTTTTTTTTTTTTTTTTTTTTTTTTTCAGTAAAATTATACTCAATCCATTTTATTTTGTGTGTAATTTGATTAATAAATTAAAGTGAAAAAATTGTAATTTATGTCCATCATAAATATGACAATTATCAATTGTTATCCCTGAATTATTAGTGGTGTAAATATTAATCCTCAATTTTCAAAATGTAACATATATTGCCCCTCCCGTAATAGGAAGACTGAGAAGCATTGTTGTCGGCAGAAGAAGAACAAATGAAGAAAGAAAAATGAATGAAAAAAACGTGGTCTTCGAACAGGGAAAATGATGGATAACCACATTTACACCACTAAAAATTCAGAGAGGGACAATATATATCACATTTTGAAAATTGACATGAAATATTTACACCACTAATAGTTTAGGGGTGACATTGATAATTGATATATTTATGAGGGGCATAAATTACAATTTTCACAATTAAAGGTGATCAAAAATTATTTATAGTTCAATTTTTCATAATATTAAATTGAATATTAGTATAGAAATTTATATATTTAAAAATATTAAAATATTATTAAGCACAAAAAATAACTAAATTTAAAAATAAGTGAAGAATACTAAACAAAATTTGAAAAAAAAAAAGAGTTGATTTGATCAACGAATATCAAACAAGACAGGTAAAATGAGATATATAAACATTTTAAAATTTTACTATTTTAATTTATAAAAAATAAAAATAAAGTTATTTAAAATTTATTTGTATAAAAATATGAATACGATTAATGATGATGATGATGATGATGATAATAATGAACTGAGATTATAATGCAAGTACTGAAGTACCGATGAGAATATAATTATGTTGTATTCAATAATAATGTCTGAGAGTACAGAGAGCAAATATATAGAGATGCTACATAGAATCCTAGTCTAACACGAATAATATAGTCCTAGTCTAATATGAATAATATAGTCCTAATACTAATATGAATAATATAGTCCTAATACTCCCCCTCAAACACAAGGTTGGCTAGCCAAAACATTGAGCTTGTCACGGAGAAAGTTAAAACGAAGAGACGACAGAGACTTTGTGAAAATATCCGCTAGTTGATCCTTGGTTGAAATAAAGTGCACTTCTAACTCCTTTTTGGCTACTTTATCGCGAACAAAATGATAGTCAATCTCAATGTGCTTCGTGCGGGTATGAAACACTGGATTGGCACATAAATAAGTAGCTCCCAAATTATCACACCATAGTCGAGGAGGAGACGCAAGCGGGATGCCGATTTCATGTAACAGAGAAACAAGCCATGTAACTTCTGCAGATACATCAGCGAGTCCCTTGTATTCTGCTTCAGTCGAAGAACGTGTCACAGTCTGTTGTTTCCGACAAACCAAGATATAAGATTACTGCCCAAGAACACAGCAAAGCCACTAGTAGATTTACGGTCATTCGGATCGCTAGCCCAATCTGAGTCAAAATAGGCGTGAATATCCATAGATGTAGACCGAGAAATACGCAGGTCAAGATTTAGGGTGCCTTTGACATACCGCAGGACTCTCTTTAGAGAGGCCCAGTCTGTAGTAGTGGGAGCATGCATATGTTGACACAATAGATTAATAGCATAAGATAGATCCGGATGAGTTACCGTAAGATACCGGAGAACACCAACAAGACTCCTGTATTGTGTTGGATCGGCATAGGTAACGGCCACGTCGTCTATGATTTTCGCAGAAGAGACAGGCGTGATTACTTGCTTGCAGTCCACCATGCCAGCACGTTTGGGAATATCCTTCATGTACCGTTATTGGGATAAAAGCATACCGCCAGATAACGGGATAGTTTATATTCCCAAGAAGAAAGAAGCCACACCCATATCACGAACCTTAAATTCAAGTGCTAATTTATTAATAAGAGTAGTAACACGATCTGAGTCAGAACTCATAATTAAAATATCATCAACATACACCAAGAAATAAAGACGAATATTGTCACGAGATTAGATAAAAAGAGACACATCCGTCTTAGAAGGCGAGAAACCCACAGAGACAAGAAAATCATGTAGCCTTGTGAACCATGCACGTGGAGCCTGTTTGAGATCGTATAGAGATTTTTTAAGCAAACATACATGATGGGGTAACGACTTATCCTCATAACCAGGTGGCAGTCGCATGTAAACAGTTTCAGCTAGCTCGCCATTTAAAAAGGCGTTGTGAATATCCAACTAGCGAATAGACCACCCACGAGATACGACTAAAGATAAGAGAAGGCGAACCGTAGTGGGCTTAACTACAAGACTAAAGGTCTCAAAAAAGTCCTCTCCAGCAACCTGATTAAAACCCTTGGGTACTAACCTTGCTTTATGACGGTTTATTGAACCATCGGCCTTCCGTTTGGTTCTGAAAACTCACTTGCAACCAAAAACATTCATACCTGGTTGAGATGGAACGAGACGCTATGTATGATTATGGACCAAGGCATTGAACTCCGCATCCATTGCATCACACCACTCAGGAAATTTGACCGCCTGAGAGTAACATGTAGGCTCAGACAATATAGTGGAAATAGTGGTTAAGGCAACATGTGATGCGGGCTGGAGCTGCGAGTGTTCATGTTATGCGACCGAGGAGGCGGAGTCACGTTGAGGACGTCCGCGCGGCCTGCCGCGCTGCTCAACCTGCTGGTCCGAGACAGTTCCCTCACTCGATGCGGACTACTCGTGATCGTTACCGGCATCACCGCCAGAAGCCGCCACGGGCTCGTGAATCTGCCGAGCACCATTAGTAACCGTGGTCGAGACATCACTTCCTTGGCCTGTCACAATTGGTGCAGTAGCTCACGGTTCGGAACGCGGTGTAGCAACCTGCGAGGCAATAGGATAAACAAAGGGAAACACAGTCTCATCGAATCGCACGTGGCGACAGATAAAAACCTTGTTAGTGTTAGTGTCTAAACAACGATAGCCACGATAAGACGGAGGATAGCCTAGAAAGACACAGGGAGATGAACGAAACTAGAGTTTATTGCGATTATAAGGACGTAGGACAGGAAAGTACAAACAGCCAAACACTCGCAAGTAAGAGTAAGACCGGGGAGATCGATGTAAACGGAAGTGAGGGCACTCAGCTGACAGAACATGAGTAGGCATTTTATTAATTAGATACACAATAGTTTCAAAAGCATAGTCCCAAAAACGAGACGGGACAGATGCTTGAGCCATTAAACACAGCCCTGTCTCAACAACATGACGATATCTGCGTTCCACTCGACCATTTTGCTCGTGAGTATACGCACAGGATTGCCTGTGGCGAATACCCAGCGAAGAAAGAGTGGAACCAAGCTTTTTGTATTCTCCCCCTAAATCAGATTGAAAGGAAATAATCTTGCGAGAAAAAGAACGTTCAACGAGTGACCGAAACTTATCAAATATAGCATACAAATCAGATTTAGCACGCATGGGGTAATACCATAAATAATGAGTGTAATCAATCCGCAAACAACACAAAATATTTATAGCCAGACGCAGAAAGTAATGGCGCCGGGCCCCAAATATCTGAATAAATTAATTCCAAAGGATGCGTACTAGTAATTTCGACACGAGTCAAAGGAAAACGAGAGGATTTTCTCAATTGACAAGAGGAACAGACATTGGGAAGATCAGTAGAATTAAATGTACCAATAGACGAAGACGTTAAAATTTTACGAAAAACTCGAGAATGAGGATGCCCCAACCGCATGTGCCAAACGTAAGAGGATCGCGCAGCAACAAACGCAACAGGAACTGAGGAGGACGCAGGCCATGTGTAGAGACCCCTAGATGCATGTCCCTTAAAAAGGGGGTGAAACTCAAAAGAAAACATTATTGTCTTTTGCAAAACGCTAGACAGACAATAGAGAAGAAGAGAGACCAGGGACATGTAAAGCATCATGTAACTTAAAAGACCTAGAATCAGTAGCTAACGAAGTGGAACCAACATTAATAATAGGCAAATTAAACCTGTACCACTGCTGACTCGCAGAGACTCCGGGCCATTATAACGTGTCGCAGAAGTCATCAAAGAAGAATCAGGCATAGCATGATCTATAGCATCAGTGTTAGGGAACCACTGATGAGGACCGTTGGAATCACCATTATCACCAGAGATGGCCACATTAGCCTGAAAACCTGGAGCCCCTGAATAACGCCGAAAACAGTTGGAGCCAATGAGATGTCAACATTGTCAATTATTTGAAAATGGTCATATCATTTTAAAGTCCAGGTGTAGTTGTATTTCTGATCAACAACTTCGTAGTTAGGTTGCGCTCTAACAATGATGTAAAAACAATTTTGTTCGATAAAAAATAATAATAGTTCAATATTTGTAAAGTAATGTACAATTATAGAAATACATACAAAAAATATTAATACCATAATGACCTAAATCATTCCAATAATGCAAAAACATAATTGAAATATTGAGTCTTGTTCTAAATAATCAAAAAAATATTAGTTAAGTGAAAAAAAAAAAGAATTTTTTTTTATCTAATTTTTTTTTTAATGCAAGAAAATGATTTTCAAGATTCCTGATTTATAATCTTTAATGCAAACCTTTGAATGCTATGTATTTAGTCGGGCTAATTATTTGACCAAAGTTTATGTTAAATTTTATATTATATTTTTTAAAATACATTTTAACGTATTCGTAGTATATATTTAACAATTATGCCAACTCTGATTGGGATGGATTCCAACCTAATACCTTTCTTATAGAAATTAATGAGTAAGTTAAGAATAATAAATAATAGTTAACAGAATATTCCGTTA